TTGAGTACGGATCGTCGTTAGAAACAAGATTTACACCGTTAAGCCACTCTACGTTCCTCTACGTGGTCGTGGACATTTTGTGGCCGGAGTCTCGACAGATTACGGAATTGACAGTGGTAGTGGCCAGTGTCTGAGAACGATCGGGAAAGAGCCTAGAGTCACAGAACTTGCGCTCTGTTGGGGGAGGGATAGGGGAAATCCTTTTATAGCACGAGAAACAATCGATAATTCCCCAAAGACAGCGTGAAATAACGTTAAAGAAAACGCCAGAAACGTCGATAGAAAGAAAGAAAGAAAAAAGAGAGAAAAGAAAAAGGAGCAGGATTTCTTTGGAATGTTTGCGAACGAGCTACCGGAAACCGTTTGGCAAAGTATAAATCCTGCCACTGAAATTACTGTCCTGCATCCCGTGGCTTTTCTTTCCGGCAACTAATTACGTCAGTGGTTCTTTCTGCCCCCTTCGTACATCTATCCCCTTTCTCTCTCATCTCACGTTAATTACATTTGACGTTATTGCCCTGCACGTCCCATCCATCAAACCTTTCTTTCCTTTGAGCCGAGAGGTTCTTCTACACACGGTCGAAACGCACAACCCCCTCTCCGTCTTTTAATCATACCGCTGCCATTAATGGCATCTTTACTTCTTTCTTCTTTTTATTTCTTTTTCTCTTTTTATCTTTCCTCGGCTCTCGTCGTCGTCGGCGGGTGCGTGTCGATTATTTTTCAACCGGGCCTCGCGTCCTCGTAAAAGTCGATCGCTCGAGCACGGCCCGACCAGACTAACGAGTTTCCGATTAATTGATTTATCGAGCTATCGGTTTAAACATATTCTCATTAATACGAAGGCCTGTTCAACGGACAAAGGCCTCGTACGGAACTTCCGACCTGGTATCGTTTATCGTTCGCAGTTCTCCGGGGATACTTTTCAGCCTGTGGAAGGTTATCGATGAGACATCCCGAAGCTTTTTTTCGTTCTTTTGTTTTCTTTTTTAACGCGGACGTGCGAAGGGAGTTAATTATAAAATGCAGCCAGGAAATGACGTATCGAATTCCTGCGATTATTTTCAAGCTCATTGCAAACTGAGAGAAAATCTTTATTGGTTCTTTAACACTAGAACTACCAAAAAATGGTCAAAATACGAACCAATTGATAATTTTTGTTAAATATTTTATAGATGTAAAACAGTGTATTTTTAGAGAACTGAGTGATTTTTCGTAAAATATATAAATAAAAGGTTGTGTACACTGTATTATAAAGATTTTCTGTTTCCTTTTTACTTTAAACGTCTCTGATGGAAATTTTATGCTTTAGTCATCGATAGTTCTACTGTTAATATTTCTGCGTTTGATAATTCGAATCCAATTTCACGGAGAAGTTTCTCTTGCTTTTCACTTTCTCTATGCGACGCAGCCTCAAAGGCTTGTTACATGAAATTCCTAGGATAATTTGGAGACTCGTTATACAGTCATCTGCAATATTGCAAAATACTGCAATAATTTTTTCGTACTTTGTAATTTGTATTCAATTTTACGGGAAAGTTGTATACACCCCGGTGAAATTATGAAATTCCTCTCTCAGTAAATTCTCGGTCTCGTTAATCGAAATTGGAAAGTACAGATTTTCTCTGTCGAAAAGCAGTGTTTTCCACGCTGTTCTACGACAGATAAATTAAGAATCGACTCTCAGAACGGCGAAGTTAGTCGGGAGTGTCGCGTGTCAGTGTCGCGACTGTTCGTCGCCTCGAATGGAAAAGAGGAAGGTCCGTTTTGTCTCGGGGGCGGGCGTCGACGGAACGATGCAAGCAAGAAAAATCGTTATAAGTGATGCATCATTTTTCTTTCGCGCCGGTGCGGTGTTGCGCTTCCACGTGACCCGGATTCCTTCGCCAGACAATGGCGAAATGTATCGCACGGGAAGATGCATCGAATAAATAACCCCCCGGGTTTCGGGATTCGAAATTTTACCACGTTAGTTTTTTTTTTTTTTTTTTTTTTGTTTCTCCCCATCGTAAAATTAGGTTCTATCTTTTAACGAGCGAAACTTGTCAACTGCAGTACACGATCAGTTATCGTCACGAAAAAAATTTGACACAAAATTACACGATAAGAAATTACCCGTAATAATGAAAATCAGACATTTACGACGGCTAAATTAGACTAACGTAGACTTTAAAAATTTCCATTTTTGATATCCTCGAAAAATATGGAAAATTATTTCACGCTTATCGTATAAACTTGGTTGAAAGATGAAAAAAAAAAAAAAAAAAAAAGGAAGAAGAAACCTCTTTTCCTCTTGAGATTGCCGGAGGATCTTGCTTTAGATACGAAGATATTCAGTGTTGGGTGTAAGGAAACGATGACTGGGCGAAAACTTGCAAAAATAGGGTGTGCTGGAATCATTTATTGGCTTGGACACAATGGCTATATAGACAGCTGATAATGGAAGGGGGTATTTTCTTCCCTCGCGAAATGGAAAATGGGTTACGAAGTTATAACACGATAAAAAAAAAAAATCTATCTCAAATGTATTACCGCGTCGTTACGTTGAAAATTCGTTCGTCAAGCTGTATCAAATGGATTCTCTGTGAAAAGAAGAGAAGGAAATGTTTAATTTCAAACTACGAGTCAATTTTACTCGCGTAAATTTATTTTACCTCCCTCGGTGTAAAATATTACATATTACAATTGCGTAGATTGCGGACGTCTATCTACATTCGTACCTTTCTCAAAGCCGAAATACAGAGTTAATCCATTCCAGGAAAACCTATTACGTTTTTCTTTCCATGTTTATATATACAATTCGCAGTATAACTTAATCTTATAGCCCTTGTAAACGATCGTTCGCCTCTTCACCTCTGCGCTAAATGCGCATGAACTTGATCGAAGCAGAAGCGTCTCGAAACGTGTCAGTCGAGCAATATTTTCAAAACAGGTCGAACCTTTCCAATACGAGAGTGGAAAGTAACGCAGTTTGGCTCGTCCACGACGTAACATACATTTAATTAACATCGATCGGCGTGTGAAGGAATGCCTTCCGATCGGCCGAAGTGCAACAGGTGTGTTCGAAATTTTTCTTTTCGTTCTCCACGTAAGGAAGAGTAAACGGGCACGAAAAATCCAAGAGACCTAGGGAGGAGCTAAAAACCTGATCCAAACCCGATCCGTTGGCTTCGCCCGAATTAACCACAAATCAAATTAAACAGACGTAACAATCACGCACGGCCCGGGCATTTCGCGCGTCGAATGATAAATTATCCACGTACGTACCACTCGCTAAATTGCGTGATAAAGCTTCGTTCGCAACGTTATTACGCTGTAATCAGCAGTGGATTATGCATACGTCCGATAATATTGCCAGCCGATGCAGTCCATTAATGTAGAAAATCAAATTCGATCGGCAACGGGGATATAGTTGTAATTCGCTTGCCATTTTCAATGCTAGAAACGTTGTGCGTGTAATGAACTTTCAGGGGCGGTGATCCCTTTCTCCTCCCACGAGTCCCCAATGTGGCCAATTTACCGATATCCATCCTCTGCCCTTTGTTACAGTGTGCAACATCACGTTGGACAGCAGACAGTTGTTCAGCAAATCGGATCGCGGCTTCGGGCAAATAAAGTCGCCGTCTCTCGAAGGGCCGTCACGATGTACGTACAGGTTCGTGCCGGACACCGGCCAACGAGTCGAGTTGCAGATCTATCGGTTGATCTCCATCGGACGGCACAACGGCACAGCGTAAGTAACTTTCATACTATTTCTCTCTATTATCAACGACGCGACTATTAAATCCGTGTACCGTTATACACAGATTAGAGGATATAAATTTCATATTTTACAAATGGCGGCAGATCAAAGGGCGGCTTTTTCCCGCACTTATGGATGTCGATAATGAAGGGAAATTGGAATTCCAATGAGCCAATATGTAGATTTGAAATTTACGAGGTTTGGACGATTTCACGAAAAACGAATCCAGCTTCTTGTTACTCTTATACATGCATATTTGCTCGAAAAACACGGGTTCATTGTTGCCCCCGATACTGTCTCCGTGCCCTTTTTCTCAGACGAGTTGCAAGCTCAACAAGTTTCACCGCGCAATAAAATTCGGGAAAAATGGGAATTCTGCGCAGCGTTTCACTGAAACGCTCGAAAGGCGAATTGTTTCGCATCGCTTTTTGTTGATATTATTTTGTTTACTTCTCATCGATTTCTCGCGTTCTTTCCTTCGCTGTCTGCTTGATTGAAAGTTAATTGTTGTATCAGTCGTCTGAAATTTTGATACATTCAACAGTATATTGCAAATTCTTGTACGAAACGTGAAAGATCACCGAAAGAAGTTAGTTGTTGACAGTCACGGTTAGCGGCATCTACACAGAAGAATTATCAAAAATCTTTATATATATAATCTACTGACAGAATCTTCTGCTCTTCCTATTGAAAGTACCAACCTATCAGTACGAGTTGTCCATTACGCGAGAAGCAAACATAACTGTTTTCGCTTAACGAGAAAATTCAGCAATAACGAAAGAACAACGCGGCAACAATATTTGCCGGTTATGGCCGCGTTGATAATTGTCTCGTTAATGTAAAACCATAGGGAACGATGGAACGACCCACGGGGGCACTGTTGAAAGCAACTCACATTGATCCGGCCTTTCAGCATTAATCAAAAATGCTTTTAATCACTTCGGGCAGGCGCATCGCTCTCGGTGCTTTTAATTAAATTAACATGCTGCACGTTGCTAGTCGGACGCACGCGCTAACATCCTGCTTGAAACACACACACACATACGCGCGCGCGCGTATTTATGTATGTATGTATGTATGTATGTATATATGTATGTATGTATGTATGTATGTATGTATGTATGTATGTATGTATGTTGCACGTATGTATGTATGTATGTACGTATGTATGCATACGAATATTTCGCCGGTACTGAAAATTGTTATTGCAATAAATCTTGTTCCGCAGTATTCGTTGCATTCGAGCTCTTTTCATGCAGGGAACAATCCATTTCTCGTTACACGTGTCACTTGACGCGAAAGCTGTAATAACACAGACGCGAAAAAGCGGTCAACGACGCGTGACGTTGTTCAAGCTTCATTATTTGGAGTATGCCAGCCACTTACAACGGATTAACAAGAGAATGTTAATTGCAAAATTAGTGGCACGCTAACGTTGTCATTTGTACGACGGGGAGGTTGAATGTTTATCTTTCTCGTTTATCCTGTTACTATAACGCGATCAATGTTTTTACTGTTTCGAGCTATCAAAATGCTCGAAATGATCAATTTATAACTTTCCGTGAAATTGTATTTCCACACAGGCTCGAATGATGCTTAGTATAAATGTATATTATGAATTTATTGTATTAATTTGTAATATATCCACTTTTAATTTCTCATTGCGAATTTAATTCTTTAACTTTCGGTGGGCTTAGTGTCAAAGATAGATGTATTTAAGAAACGCTAATAATCTCGTTTGATTTTCATTCTGTTCTAACGTCTTTTTGAAAGGAAATAAGAATATTAATTTTCAAGTGATAATTTAGCTTTCACTGAAATTTGTACATAATAGTTTCATTTGATATCAGAATTCTCTCAGTTTAGCAAATGTGCAACGCGACATAAATTTTGCACGCAACTTTCTTCAAAAATTCACATTGATGTACATGATTCATCTACAAGCTAATCATCTACATTTCCAATACACTTTATCCTTGCCACTTGAAGATTCAACAATCTCAACGTTACCGACTCGCAGACTGTCGAATCGGTCGTTCAGATATAGTGTCCTTTTAAAATCAAAGTACGGATACGACGCTTTCGTGGGAGGAGGAATCGAGGGAGGACGGGTTTCCCAGTGGCCGATATGATTGGAGATCGCTCGTGTCGATGGTCGTTTCAATTTGTCATACTTCCGTTCTAACGGGCGACTACCATCGCCGCCACACTTAAATTCCTCTTCGATCGTGTATAGACGGAGCAACACGAGCCTGGAGAGCCGGCCGAACGGTCTCGAAAGAAAAATTACCGTTTCTGAGAAAGCGTATTTCCCTGCCGCGCTCCCCGCGAACGAATATAGCGAGGAAAGTTCGCAGCCGAGGAGAAGAGGCCTTCGACAAGCTTCGCGAAAGTTCTTACAATTTTACGGCCAGACTCATCCTCTCGGAGGATGCCCCACTCTCTTTTCTTCCTTCGCTTCCCTCGCCGTCTAAGTGGAGCTTAGGACGCGAATGCACGTCGCGTCCCGGGAACACTTACCCTCGAACGCTTCCCGTTCGTCAGCGTTCGACAGCGTTAGCATAGTAATGCAGAATCGAAATAGATAAATTTCGGACGTTCGTACCGACTCCTTTTGTATTAATTGCTCTCGCAGCCAGCCAGTCGATTCCGAAGATTCAGCCGAACGAAAATAATAAAGCCGGAAATAATTGTAACATATTTTAACCCTCGGGTAATTTGTATCGCAATTTTGGAATTTTTAATTCAATTTCTGCTTGTTATCAGAAGGCAAATTTATGAACTTTTGTGGACACGTCTAGAGGAATAGAACATGAGAGAAAAATCGTTTTTTCGTAGTATTTTACGTAGTTTTGTGCATTATACGATTTGTAGATTTTTGCGTTTTTAAACTTCTCCGTTTATTATCAATTTGTTTTAGAACAGATACGAAACAAAATTTTAATGCTTCACGTTTGAAATAATCTCTCTCTCTCTCTCTCTCTCTCTCTCTCTCTCTCTATGCGGTACACGTATATTTGAATTTCATTTTGCTGTTTGAACATTTGCGAAGTTAACCCGGCGTTTGTAGTTTTATAATTATATTCACGTTATGCAAAGAAGTTTATTTGGAGAGGGAAAGAAAGGGAGGGAAAAGTCGCGGCAACGATATTCCGTATTCTTGATTTTTCCCGCGGCGCTTCGCATTCCCCCGTTGCTTGTACTTCGTCCGAGAATTCATACGCTCGACGAGGTATTTTCCGAGGGGGAAGAAAAATCACGTTTTCTTAACAAAGGGCGATTATATATAGAGCTGCGGGGGCGCAGCGAAAGAAAGGCAGAAATAATCGTTCGTACAAGACTCGCGTCGGCGTATTGTAGTCGTTCGCAATAATTCTGGATAAACTCGACATGCCGCGAGAATGGAACACGCATTATGGCTTTTCGATAGCCTCCTCCGCGTCTCTGCTCGTAGATAATTTAAATCGTGCTCCGAACGTGTGTTACCTGATGAACGAATGACCCCGTTTAACCCGTGGAGTTTCCTTCATCTTTCGATGATAATCTCGAAACAGAAATTAACGAATCGTTTGATAAATCATAAGTAGAGAAGCTGAAAATGTCGGGAATCCGAATGGTCGGGCTGCGAAAGTATCTCAGAATTCGAGGATTTCAGGATTCTCGAGAATTCGCCGGATTCCCGAGAGAGTCGGTATTCTGGAGATTTTTGGGATTCTCGAGGATTATAAAATGACAAAGGTTAGAACACGAAGGAGAAATAATAACTATACACACGATAAATGCAATACTTTCGCGCAGAACAAAACAGTTTTTCAACATTCTCTGTCGTTCGTAACGATGTTGTAACCAGATGTAAAGAACAAGATCTCTTTCGTTGAACAAAGAAAAGTTGATACCAAAGACATTTTCAAAACTATTTGCAACGGACAACACAGCTATAAATTAATAAAAAATATTGTTCGATTCCTGTTTTGAAAGCTTTTGTTTGAGAAAGATACAACAACCATTTTTTTACGTTTCCAAAGAAAATACAATTATTTGGGAATTCGGACAATCTCGCGTTATGAGATATTTTCGGGAACCTGATCCGATCCCGAAATAAGTTCTCGACCTGACCCGACTCGATATATTTCCTCCAGTTCTTGCGCATTGTCCTTTGACGACAAATAATTAATCGTAATTGAATAAATGATTTAACAAACATCAGGTGCGAGAAATTAATAAGCAACGAACGATCGATTATCGGCAAATAAACTAGCGAGTAAACTTTATAGATATTTACTTTCTCCTCGGTTCGGAAAAACGAACGAGAGCCGATTGAAGATTCCTTGCGAGGAGACGTTTCAGCCAAGCATTCAGCATTCTGCACGATTGTTCATTACTGTCGTCTTTCCTTCGGCGGCAGCGGGTCCGCTCTATTTTTCAAAGTTGAACGATTTATCACCGAGTGTGTCCTCCTTTAACTAAAAGCAGCCGCGAAAATGGAACTTGTAAAAAATATAAAAGCGCCGCTCGAAGTTTGCCCGTTAACGAAAGTGAGGGGGACCGCGCCACTTGGTGGCTTGGAAGCGAGAAATATCGTTAGGCGGCGGCGCGTGTTCGCCTTTTACCTATTCCTTGAGCGTTGCCGTTTGAAAAATTGCAACGGCCCTCTCGGAAAAATTGCAAGACCAACGTTCACAAGGGTGGGAGGGGGG